ATAGCTCATTTATAATTTATTGTTTATTTACAAAACTGTGTTTTGACAATAAGCATGATGTCGATTGATGAGTACAAATCTACAGGTCTTCGACATTTATAAGAATTTTGCAAGAAAATGTACTTATTTGAGAAGAAAAGTTATTCAAGCATCTGTTCAAGAATTGATGCCGTAGTAAAGAGTGGGCTTAGGCGAGGGAGTTTATCTCTGTCCAAAAACTGATGGGGAATCTAAATTCTTTTCAAGGGCAACTGCTAGTTGAGCATTTTGGAGCTGTTCTTGTTCATTACACTTTGGTTTTTTGTTTTATTGCTCTTGCAACCTTAACTTTGTGTGTAAGTTGTTGTGCGTTGGCAGCTGTTGTTGCTGTTCTTGCGGCGCTGCGTTGGCGTAGGCGTTGGTTGCCATGGTTGTCACACACACACACACACACATACACACACACACACACATACACACACAGGTGTTGTTGCTGTTGCCTGTAAATATACAAATACGTCATGCGGTAGGAGCGCAGAGCTCGTCGAAGTCAGCTATCCATAACGGGGTTGGCTGCTGGCAGCGGCGTCAACGTTAACGTCGACGTTAACAGCAACAGCCACACACACACACTCACACAGCTCAGTGGCACACACACGCACTGCGGCGCTGTCAGCACGATCGCAATTTCAATTCCAAAATATTTGTATATATATATATATTTTTTTAAGCTTTGCTTTTGGGTTTTCGTACGCCAACGCGCCGGTTCGTGTTTTGTGCCAATTCCATTTTGTTTCGGTTTTCTTGTTGTTCTCTTTCTGCTTTTCTATTCTCGCCACCTGACGCTGGCTGCGCTGCCGTCAACACACCTGGCCAAAGCCAACACTTTAAGCGTTTTAACTTGGCCCGATCGCGTTTAGTCGTTGTCGAGTCGCCGCACACATTTGTTGTTAGTGCCCCCCGTCGCATGTATCTCTAAGCTCTCTATAAATATATACATTTGTATCTAGTTACATTTACAGTTGTATCTATTTGCTGCGTATTGATATCAATTTGTGTCCAAGCCCAGAGGAGGGCTCAATTAGAACTTTGAACTCTATTTGCGTTATTTGCGGTGTGCGTTCTGTAAAAATACTAAAACAAATACAAAAATACGCGCGAGAAATAAAAATAAACAGATTCAAATAAGAACAAGAAAATCAACAACATAGAAAATGAAACAATAAATAATTATATAATTAAAATAAATCTGAACACAAAAATCGTCAAAAATAAAATACTAATTTGTATAATATATGAATCAAAAATAAATACAAACACTTAATACGTGCAACAATTCGAAAGTCATGCTTAAAATCAAATCAGATCAATAAAATATAGTCAATAAAGAAGGCTCATACATAACAACAACAACAACAACAAAATCAACAAGATGTAGAAACTCTTTTTGCATGATGTCAGACACATTGCGAAGTCGATCTTCAATTCCCAATTCCATTTCGATTTCAATTTCAATTTGGGATTTATATCTGGCGCTGTTCTTAAGAGGCAGTCATAATAATAATTAATGCGGTTGCAGCCGTATCGTTATTCTTGATTTGTTAAATGCCGCCAATATCAATTGATTTCAATCTCAAATGCAATTGAATTCAATTTTCTTTCAATTAAGATTCGTTTTCATATATGACGAACTCATTTTTATGCGGATCTCAAGTGTTGTTTTGTTGTTGTTGCTGTTGTTGTTGATGTTGTCGTTGTTGTTTGGCCAACAAGCTGCAATAAAGTGTTGCTGTAATAGCTGTAAATATAATGACGTGCATAGTCCTACATATATCTCTACATATATACCCCTCAAACCGCCCCGCCGAGTTTTTGCGCTTCCCCACTTAGTTGTTTCTGGTTCAGCGATCTGTAAAAAGCGAAGAGTAGCATTATATTTTTTTTTCTGAGCTGTCTGTCATATATTTTTAGCTACAATTTTTAAAGTGCTTTAGGTATTTTTTTGTTTGTTTGTTGCTTATTCGATTTGAATTTATGTGCTGTCATTACGAAAAAAACACAATGCAAATTTGTCTAAACAGCTCTTAACTGTCGTCGACTTCAAACAGTAGCCAAGGCAGCCCAAATAGGCAACAGCTGCTGTTTCGTTTTGGCTGCTTTGGCTGCTGTTGCCGTCCGCTTTAAAGCCATTGAAAATGTCAAGCTATTAACGCCTCTTAGTCTCGCCTCCGCAGACACTTAAAGCCACAGCCAAAGTTTTAAAAATCCAACATTTTTGCTTGTGCAGCCTTTTAATAATGTTGCAATTAGCATTTTGAGGTATGTGTATGTGTGCTAGTGACTGTGTGTGTGTGTGTGTGTGTGTGGGGAGTTGCCTGTAGGTGACGGCCAAGTCACGCATCTGCGCAGGCGTCACCTTTCAATGATATATCTTAACGGGTGGGCGCACATTTTGGCCAAAACAACTAGCTTGTTGTTGCTATTGTTGTTATTGTATTTTAGCTTGATCTTGAGCCATTAAGATTAGATTTCATTTAGTAAAAAATTCATTGATTGTACTTGTGACAACTGGCTTTTGATATCATATCAAACGGCCTTGCTTATCATGTCCTAAGACCAAATAAAGATTGTTTCAAATCTGATATGAAATTTGACTTTTAAACATATCTCGTTTGTCTGTCAATTTTGTTGGCATTTTCTTAAGTGAACAAATGACATTTCTATTCAATCATTTTTGAGAGACACTCTCGAGTGTGTATTGTTGTGACTGTGTGTTGTGTGTGTGTGTGTGTTCCATTCCAAAGCGTTTCCGAAAATCAAAACCAAATTAGTTGGCTTAACAATTAGCTTTGTTGTTGTTGTCGCTGTTGTGGTTTGTGCCCCGCGGCGGGCTTTGCTGAGCCGTGCACATGAACTTTTAGTTATGGTTGTTTTTTGCAAAAAAAAATTAAATGAAGAAACTTGAAGGAAATCTTTACTTGAGCCTAACGAATAGGAGATGCCCTAGTTTTCAGTTTATTGCTGATATATGTTGATAATAAACTTTAATGAGAGTCTAATTCTTAGTTCTTATAGACATTGAAACTTTCTCGAGCTACTTCCTCTTCGTATATCAATGTGTTTGATCTTAAGCTTCTATTTGAGTGTGATTTTTAATCGGATTTCGTTTAGTTGAGTTAAAAGATAGTTCTTATAGGCATTCAAACTTATGTGAGCTACTTCCTCTTTGTGTATAAATACTTCACTCAAATTCTTTGCTTGGCCTTTCAAAAATGTTCAAGTCTTACAGCAAATTAACAAGACCCACAACAAGAGTATAAAAGCGCCAAAGGACAGGTAGCAAAATCTCGCTTTGCTCATTTGCTGGAATGAATAATTATGTGAATGACTTAACCAAAATAATACACTGAGAATTTATATATAATATTTATTCTTTCCCAACCTACAACTAGCTTATTCAAATTGTTACACTTTTCATGGAGCATTTTAATTCCTTAAGTTAGAGTATAGCGAAAAAAGGCAAGAAAATAAAAATCACAAAGAGCGCTAGACGATTGGACAGACAGGCTTTATAGTTGGTTTGCTTGGATAATTATGTGTATGTACAAGACATAAATAATTCGCTCATCAGCAGCAACAAGAACAACAACAGGAATACCCCTACATTTCTGTGGGTGCTTTTTTTTTGCTTAGTTGTAGTGGTGGTAGCCACAAGAACAAGACATCCGGTAGTGTTGTTGTTGGTGTCTGCCTTTGGTTTTCGGCCGGCTTTTGACTTAATTAAACGCAAATTGCGATGCCGGCAAACTCAAATTGTCTGTGAGCACGAAAAGTGCGGCAAGTGGGGAAGTGGGCGAGTGGGCGAGATGGAGGCGAGAAAACCGAGGCGAATTCTGCGATTTAAACAATTAAAATGATTTTTTCTAAATCACGCACAATAATAGCATAAACACAAACACACACACACAAAATTACGAATAAAAGCGCACAAGAAACGAAACGAATAAAAATAATAATAATATTAAGAAAAGTAAGTGCATTATAAACGAAACGATAATAAATCCAACGATAAATCAACGATAACGATAACAGGCTGGCGCCCCTAAATCGCAGCAGGAACCATGCACTCCAGCACCAGCTCGCAGTCGACTCTGAAGCGCACTCAGCAGCTGGTTAGGCAACAGAATGGCTCCCAACCCTACGTCAGCGGTGGCACCGAAATAGTGCACACCTCCCGCGGACCACCCATCACGACGAATATTGATGACTCTAGTCTGCGCTATCGGCAGGAGACGAAGCGGGAGCGCACCGTTGAGGCTGTCATCACGGATTATCCGGGCGTGGCGCCACCCGGCACCCTTCCACACGAACGTAGCCACATTGAGCGCACCGTTACCTTCCAGGATGGAGTGGGGGGCAGTGGCAGCCGTCGAATTACCACGGATAGTCGTGCTCTGGTGCCCTCCGCAGCGCCAGGTGGCGTCAGTTCCAGCAGCTATCAGCAGGTGACGCGCAATAAACGCATCTCTACCGAGGTGCTTGGTTCGAGTGTGGAGAGCACGAAGACATCGCAACGTGCCCCGAATGGACATCGTCGTGTCACAACGCACATTGTGCGCAAAGTGACCACGCTGAGTCGCGCCGAAGAGAATCAACAGCCGGCTGAGGATCTGTTGCCGCCGGCGAAAATGATACGCAGCTCCGAGCTGGAGTATCGACGCGCCTTACCGCCACCGGCCATTGTTGAGTCGAGCGTGCAGCGCAGAGAGGTAAACTGAGAGGGACAGGGGAGAGGATTGAAGAAGATTAATACGATGTGGGGTCATCCAAATTAAAATATAAATTAAATTAGAAAATGGATTAGGCTTACTTCGCAACAGTCTTGCACCATAAATACATTGCATACCCCAAGAAAAACTTGCTCCATTTAAGTAAACCTTCAAGAAACTATATATTAAATGCATATATTAAAACACATAGCTAACATTTAATTAATAATACTATTCCGTTGCCCTAACTAGATCTCCGATATTGTTGTTGGCAAAGAGGACAACGTATCCGCACGTGAGGCATTGTTGCGCTGGGCGCGCCGCTCTACGGCTCGGTATCCGGGCGTGCGCGTGAATGATTTTACATCATCGTGGAGGGATGGTTTGGCCTTCTCGGCATTGGTGCATCGCAACCGACCGGACTTGCTTGACTGGCGAAAGGCAAGGAACGATCGGCCGTTGGATCGTCTCGAGACGGCATTCCACATTGTCGAGAAGGAGTATGGTGTAACGCGTCTATTGGACCCAGAGGGTAAGATTTCCTTATCGAAATGATAAAGGGTATAAGTTAACTTAACCATTCCCTGTTCCCTTCTATTAGATGTGGACACAAATGAACCGGATGAGAAATCGTTGATTACGTACATTTCATCGCTGTACGATGTGTTCCCGGAGCCACCATCTATCCATCCACTGTTCGACATGGAGTCACAACGTCGCGTCCATGAATATCGCGATTTGGCCCAACAGTTCATCTACTGGTGTCGCGAGAAGACAGCCTATTTGCAGGAGCGCTCGTTCCCGCCCACGCTAATCGAGATGAAGCGTTTGCTTAGCGATCTGCAGCGTTTCCGCAGCGAGGAGGTGAGCGCCCGCAAACGTGAGAAGTCCAAGCTCATCCAGATATACAAGGAGCTGGAGCGTTACTTCGAAACGGTGGGTGAAGTCGATGTGGAGGCCGATCTGCGACCAGATGCCATTGAGAAGGCCTGGTATCGCATGAATACAGCGCTGCAGGATCGTGAAGTTATCCTACAGCAGGAGATTGAACGCTTGGAGCGTCTACAGCGACTGGCCGACAAGGTGCAGCGCGAGATTAAACATGTGGATCACAAGCTGACGGATCTGGAGACCCGTGTCAGTGAGGAGGGGCGACGCATTGAGCGTCTGCATCCCGTGGATGCGAAGAGCATTGTCGAGGCACTCGAGACCGAGATCAGGCATCTGGAGGAGCCCATACAGGACATGAATCAGGATTGCCATGTGCTCAACGAGGGCCGCTATCCGCATGTGAGCGAATTGCACAAGAAGGTTAACAAGCTGCATCAACGCTGGGCTCAGCTGCGCACCAATTTCCACACGAACCTGGTACAGAAACTGTCCGGTTTGAAATTCCCCGTCCATGAGACAACTGTGACGCGTCAAACGCGCATGGTCGTCGAATCCCGACAGATCGATACGAATCCCCACTTCCGTGATCTGCAGGAGCACATTGAATGGTGCCAGAACAAATTGGTGAGTCTCAGAGATCGATCATATTAAATACCAGCTAACATTATTTGTAATTTGCAGAAACAATTGCTTGCCGCCGACTATGGCAGTGATCTGCCATCGGTCAAGGAGGAACTGGATCGTCAACAGCACGAGCACAAGATCATCGATCAGTTCCACTCCAAAATACTCAACGATGAGCGACAACAGAGCAAGTTCTCCGGCGATGAGCTTAACCTCTACCAGCAGCGACTCAATCAGCTGCAAAAGGTCTACGATGAGCTGCACAGCACATCGACAAAGCGTCTAACCGATCTGGACTCACTGCAGCACTTCCTTGCACAGGCCTCCGCCGAGCTGCAATGGCTCAACGAGAAGGAGCAAGTGGAGATCACGCGCGACTGGGCGGACAAACAACTCGACTTGCCCTCAGTGCACAGATACTATGAGGTAACTTGACTCTCTCGTTAACTTGTTCTTCTTATTCGCTAGTTACTCTAGAGCTAGAGCAATTTGTGGTATTTTGCATGGTATATACTCAAGCAGATATCAGACATATGTATCTGACATTCAGGTCAAAGTGTGGCCACTAAATACAAATTTAATTCTTTTCAAAATGAATGTAGAAGCTCTACTTTAAAAATTCTACAGCCATAACTTTGTCAAAGCTGTTCCGATTCTAGATTAATGCAAAACTGATCCGATTTTCATCAGCTATGCACTTTTGTGCATGGTTTACCATCTAAAATATGTGCAAAGTATGGAAAGAGTTTAATCCCCTATCCTTTCTGTTTTAACTATATCTGCTGAGGGTGTTTAGCATTCGGCTAGCCGAAGTTAGTGTTTCTTGCCTGTGTTTTTCTATATGTGTTGTGCTTTTATCTAATTCCAAGCGTGCATTTGGTAATGGCGACGAGGTAAGAATCGGTTCTAAGTTCCCTTTTGGGAATACTTTCAAATCAAAAGCAACCAACCAAGTGCACCTGCCCTATTTTGAAACTAATATAATCCATACTAATTTTGTCTTATACATTTTCTATTTCCTCCCAGAACTTAATGTCCGAACTGGAAAAGCGTGAGATGCACTTTGCAACGATCCTGGATCGTGGCGAGTCGTTGCTGAACCAACAGCATCCTGCATCCAAATGCGTTGAGGCCCATTTGACGGCACTGCAACAGCAGTGGGCGTGGCTGCTGCAGTTAACCCTCTGCTTGGAGGTGCATCTGAAGCATACCACCGAATACCATCAATTCTTTGCCGAGATCAAGGACGCCGAACAGTGGCTGAGCAAACGCGATGAGATACTCAACAGCAAGTACTCTCAGTCCGATTTTGGTTTGGATCAAGGCGAGGCTTTGTTGCGAGGCATGCAGGATTTGCGTGAGGAGCTGAATGCCTTCGGTGAAACTGTGTCCACGCTGCAGCGTCGCGCTCAGACCATTGTGCCGTTGAATAAGCGACGTCAGCCGGTGAACCGTCAAGGTCCGGTTCAGGCCATCTGCGCGTATAAGCAGCAGGGTCAGCTACAGATTGAAAAGGGTGAGACGGTCACCCTGTTGGACAATTCGGGACGTGTCAAGTGGCGTGTGCGCACCGCCAAGGGGCAGGAGGGTTCCATACCCGGTGCCTGTCTCCTACTGCCGCCACCCGATCAGGAGGCCATCGATGCTGCCGAGCGTTTAAAGCGTCTCTTCGATCGTTCCGTTGCCCTGTGGCAAAAGAAACATTTGCGTTTGCGTCAGAACATGATCTTTGCAACGATTCGGGTGGTCAAGGGCTGGGATTTCGATCAGTTTCTGGCCATGGGGCCCGAACAACGTACGGCGATTAGACGTGCCTTAAACGACGATGCGGACAAACTGCTCAGCGAGGGCGATCCAAATGATCCGCAACTGCGACGGCTGCGTCGCGAAATGGACGAGGTCAATCGATTGTTCGATGAGTTCGAGAAGCGAGCCCGAGCCGAAGGTGAGAGTGTGGGCGGTGGTTGTAATATATGTGTAAATGTGGGCGTGGGCGTTGAAAATTTTGCTCGCTTTTCAATTGACGACACTCGGCCAGCTGTCAACGTTGGCCAATTAAGCGTTTCATTTAATTAAATTGAATTGAATGGTCGCTTGATTTAGTGAACCCGACATCGTCTCTCGACCAGGAAGCCCAACTTAGTCTCCAGTCACAAATCAAACGCAACGCAACTTGACAAGACAAAGCAAAAACATGAAGAAACTATTCGCGGGTTCCAAAACACGCGGTAATCATTTATAATCCTGATGATCAAAGCGATCTGTGGTATTAGGGTTGCAGCAGTTGCGGTTTTTGTTTTGTATTCGACAATTAAAATTAATTAAGTGGTGTTAAGACAAGTGTTGCATATATTCAATTAGATGCTGAGGCAATTCAGAATGTTAAATGCCAAATTAAGATGTGTGCTCAAATGCATATAAATTTAAATTAAATTTTAACTTGGTGGTTAAACTTTAAAACTTAACTTAACTTAACTTTGACAGAATCCATTCTAAAGTCCTTATTCTTTTATTGTAGAGGAGAGCAAACAGGCGAGTCGCATCTTTACCGAGGAATGCATTGCGATCAAGAGCAAATTGGAGGATATGGCACGTGAGCTGGATCAGATAATATTGGCGCCACTGCCACGTGATCTGGACTCGTTGGAGCATGTGCTCGAGATACATTCGGACTATGAGCGACGTTTGCATCTGCTCGAGCCGGAGCTGAAGCATCTGCAGGAGACCTTCCGTACGATTGCACTGAAGACACCTGTGCTCAAGAAATCGCTTGATAATCTGAACGAGCTGTGGAAGGAGCTGAATACGCAGAGCGGTCTGCACAAGGATCGCCTCAAGCTGCTGGAAGCCTCGCTGGCTGGTCTGGAGGACAACGAACATGTCATCTCCGAACTGGAGAATGAGCTGGCCAAGCATCAGGATTTGCCCTCAACAGCGGAGGGCTTGCAACACGTATTCAAGCAGTTGACACACATGCAGGACATTATTACACAACAACAGCCCCAGATGGATAAGATGAACGATGCTGCCGATCAACTGGGTCGCATGGGTGTGCCAACCAAGGTGCTCGGGGATCTGAAACGCCTGCACTCGAACGTGGAGCGTCTGAATACGCGCTGGAGTGCGGTCTGCAATCAACTGGGCGAAAGGTGAGCAGCTCTTTTGCTCTCTGTAACTAGAATAACATATTTTACACTCAGAAAAACTCATACTTTTGCCGACAAACGTAAATCACCTAATAATTCAACATGATTTCTAAATGTCTTTTCTAAGAGTAGTGTGTGAGCAAACCTATTCCAACAGCAACTATCAACACCTGACTCTCAAATTTTAACGCTTCATTAACTACACCTCATAATTGCGTCTCTATGCCAACCTGTTAATATCACACTTTCGTTGACTATTTGTAGAATGCGCTCATGCGAGACGGCAATTGGATTAATGAAGAATCTCCAGTCGAGCGTGCAAGTCGAGGAATCTTGGGTTGATGGCACCACCGAACGTCTGTCTGCAATGCCCACAGCGACTTCAGCTTACGAATTAGACGTGAGTAGCGATCCATATATCACTTATCATTTTTTGATAGTTTTTTTTATTGTTATATTATTTATGATGAGTTCCTTTATAGAATTTAGCTATACATATTTATACATAACTTTTTTACCTTGTATAGTTTCCACTCAGTTTTATTTTAGTGAGCGTATTCAAAAGAAAAACCCCCCTCTAAAGCAACACAAAGTATATATATATCTATATATTCTATATTTATTTGTATATTGTACAATATATCAAAATCGAAAGCGTAGTTATATCTTTTTGCTTAACCAGTGCCCCGTCCCCCCACCTTTTGCCCAAAAAGTAGTTTTGCTTAAACACAAAAAAAAAAAAATTCTTAAAGGTACTTTGGTGTTGGACATATGTTAGATGTGTGTAATGTGTGTTAAGTTTTATATATATATTTTCCATATGTTAACTGTCCCGTACTATATATACCCTGTATATCCAGAATCTATATAGTCGTGTAGCTCTTGTCTAATCCAAACAATAAGTTCTGTAGCAAGCTGCCAGTTGTCCGGCAGCTAAACACACCGACACCCATGTATAATACATAAATATATACAGTATATGTTCCAAAACACAATCTTTGTGCTGTCCCCCGCACACACACACATTCGATTACACCCCACCACACACCCTGTAAATTTCAACAAAAAAAAAATGTATAAATATATATATGTGTCAGTATACTTTTTTAAATTATTATTTTATGTTTTTGTAGTTGTGTTTTCTAGTTTGTAAGCTGCACCATCTATATTCAAATTCATATTTCACATGCCCATTCGTCATTTTGTAGTCTTATTTGTATTTGTAGTTGAAAACTAATTGTATATGTATTTTTGTCTAATTTCTTGTATTTTCACCCCCCAAAAAAAATCAATATCAATATCACACTCTATAAAAAAAAACACTACACTATGAACAAACAAAAACTCAATCAATCAACTATAAAAAAACAAAAATATGTTGTCCAAAAAAATTTGCTACAAAACTCCCCTCGCCAAATATATATATATAAATGAATACATATATAGAAACTGCTTGGAGCTGCTATCGAACGAAAACCTAAAATCGAAAATGTCAACGTGGCTGGAGGACGTCTAATCCGCGAAGCTAAGGTAAAAATTTGTATGCCTGTCGTCTTTTTCTGTATGGCAAATCTTTCTATATTTAGACGCTGGGCATTGGGAATGATTCATAGAATCTACTCAGACTTGAAAATTGTTGCAATCTCTTTCCAAAGACTGAAGATATAGAATAATTCTGGATCTAATATGAAATACATTTTTATCATTCTTAGTAATTTTGAGTCCAAATTGATGACTCATTTTTTTGCTTAGCTTTTACACAGCTGGCATCCATAGAGTATATACATTTATTCTTAGAAATCTCATATGAAACACATTCCAATATGTTTAAGACATTGTACATTTATAGAATTCTGAATTTACCAGATATCTTCTGTAAGAAAGTAGAGATTTTTTCTCTATAAGATCTCTTCAGGATCATGCAAAAACTTGCACAAACAGTACTTTTTGCTATAAAATCTCTTCCGCATCAGCCCCCTTGCCTGGCGTCTGCTCCTTCCTCTAAGTATGTATGTCTGTGCGTGTGATTGTGAAAATATTTCGAAAAAAAAACAAGCTCTATCTCAACATGTCAAGTGTTGAGCTATAGTACACTCTACTTCCTGGCTGTTTCTTGTCTACCCACACTTTACTATCTCTACTGTCTTGCTATCCCCTTCTACTATTATACAAACCCTTTCAATATTTAATGCTTTTTAAACACATTTGTGGTAAATGAAAACAAAAAAATATAAAATACTACAAATGTCGCGGCTCCATTTGGAGGCCAAAGCGATGTATTACGAGTAGTTAAAAAACTGCGGGTACAAGGTGCGTCAATAACACTTGGGGTACAAAAACAACAACAAACCAACAAAATTCTTACCAACAATATTGACCAACAACAACAACAACAACAAAAACAATCAAACAACAACCAAAACTCACACAACAAACAATTAAAAAGCAATTGTAATCAACGTAATTTGTTCGTATTGATTAATCAATGAAATAAAAAGCACTAAATATATGCCTACCCCACAACCCCCTCTTTAAAACCACACAACAATCAAGAATATTTTGTTTAACACGAGAAACTTACTAACATTTAACCGCCAAAAAATTAACACCCAAATCCTGTGGACAACAACAACCGTGACGTCATCAACAACAACAACAAAATTGGCGGACATTTAGATTTACGATAGTAAATGTCTGCGTTTCGTCGATTGGCTGCTTGAGGCACGTCCCTCGTTCTCGCCACCACGTCGCGATCTGCGTCCGGCTGATAGCGATCCGGGCGCCACGCAGTATTACAGTCAACGTTTGGATAATTTAAATACGAAATACGACAGATTGCTGGAACAATTGTCGCAGAGGCTAAAAACTGCAATCGAGGTGAATGGCAGCGATGGTCTGGTGAGTATCTAAAATTCAGATGTGAATACAGAGAGACAGACAGAGAGAGAGAGAGAGAGAGAGATAGAACTCCCTGATGCTATATGCTAATTTTAGATACAAACGACAATTGCTTAGCAATGACTCAAAAAAGTATCTATAGCTAAAATCTACAACAGCTTCTCAGGTTCAAGTTCAAAAAAATAACAACTAGAGGAAAAAAATAATAATAAACAAGTTGGAAGCTTTCGTTTTCTTCGAGTACGCCATAAGTTCTGGCGTAATGTGTATCTTTGTATCTGTATCTTGTTGTCGGCCTTATGCACTGTTATTATTAAATTAACCTTCAAAATCCGCGAACACACACGCACACACACTGAAATAATGACATCAGAGCGCACATTTCAGTTTCGTTTTGTCAACGCTTGAAATGTTGCCTCATAAATCACCAATTTGATTAATTTATAAAAAATTGCAAAACAAATTTTTTTCCATCTAATACTATTATTTTATTTTTTCTCGTCAGAGTCGTTTGTCTTATGTGCAAATTGCATTTTATATAGATAAATAACTTTTGTCTAACTTCAATTTTAAACTCTATTTATCACACACGTATATAGCTTCGATTTTGTTTTTGTTTTTGTTTTTTTTTACCAATTAGGCAAATTAAATCAACTATCCAATTAGGAGATTTGTGCTGATAATCAGCATGATGTCAATTTGCATATAATAAACATATTTCGCATAGCGAAACGTCTTAGGTTCTAGGAAATTCGATGCCAGACAAACGTCATCAACAGTTCATTGTTGATTCTTTGTCGCTATAATTACTTCATCTGTCAACTCTTTTGGTTTTATTTCTTTTATATTTTTGGCTAGTCTCGCCCGTTTTTGGCAACTGGTTTTAAGTTTGTTAATGCGTCGCAACGTCGCTTTAAGAAATTCAATTAAAAATCCGATTAGCCATAGAAATAAAAAAGTGCTCAACTCGTTTTTGGCTGCTTTTATTCTTTTCTTTTTTTTTTTTTTGCACGTGTTTACAGAACAGTGTAAATATTCAGTTTCTAATTAACATGTAGGGAGTGACAAAAGAGAAAGGATTGTTTTTAAAGCAGCTATTGTTAAGTCAGTAAACCTTCGAGTATCGCACTCTATCAATAACTTGTGGTGTCATCAGCTCATCTTGACTACCTTTTTTGGCCCTTGACAAAATTAGCACAATTCATGCTTAGAGTGTGCGGAATTTATGTTAAAATACACCTCAGTGTTTTCTTATAGATATGACTCTTGGGCTGAGTGACATCATAAATTGCTCTTACCTCATTGATACATACAAACATATATATGCATATATTATTATGAGAAACAACATCATTGCCAGTGAGTTTGTGAGGTTTTTGCTTTTTTGCGTCTAAAGGCTTAACTTGATATGCATAACATGGGCGTCGAAGCTTAGCATTAAGTGGAGTGAATGAGCATATTGCTATTTAGAAGGTTAGCTTCAACATTTAACTACAGTAAACTGGTTTGGCTTTTTTTATTTGATTTTTGCTAGCATACCCTGTAGCTATAAATTAGAGCGGAGCATAAAAAAGTTGTGAATGTGTGCAAGGGATGTCTCGGCGAGCTTCTAATTGGAATGAGCAACGCATGAATAAAGTTGTTGTGGTAAAAATAGAAATGTAAATATTCATACTCGAATCATCTATTGATTTATATCAAAGCTTATAGGTTCTATAGTTGATTTCATAGTGTTTTATATCCATAGGCATTGATATTTCTTTATCTGACGTTGGTTCTTTTGCATAAGCAGTCCTCCTAATAAGTCCTAATGCTAGGTGTACAGATATCGATTTTTACTAACTGGAAATTTGTAAAATTTTTATAAATCATTAAAAGCTAGTTAAAATATTTATTACAATACTAAGCTTTTATTTTTTTTAATAGCTGACCGTAGGGCATTTTCTAGTCCGCCACCCTAACAGTCGGCATTCATTCTTTTTTTATTTTATACTTTTATCATACCATAAAATCGAAAACAAGCCAAATCTCCAGCTTCGTTAATTTGGTAGACTCAAAAAACCACAACAACAACAACAAGAACAACCATGAACAGTAGACAAACCAATGTTGTTCAGAACATGTTGTTATTTCTTCTGCTAATTCGCTCTCTGAACTTCCGCGTATTGTTTTCAACAATTTTTGACAGCATTACGAATTTGAGCAGCCAATTGTTAATGGATTACGAATTTCGTTTATGTTGGCCTTTTATCACATGGCAAAGCAACAGCTGAGCATATTTTTTTGTAGCCGGCATATTTTTTGTTTGCAGCTTTTGCTGCGCACTCGAAAAGCTCTCGCAAAAAAAAAAAACAAAAAACCAGCAACAACAAAAAACACCAAAAACTAAGCGTTCATCTCAGTGGCATATGGTCGGTCGGAAAGCTCTCTGGTGTTGACTGAGCGTTCTCTCATTCATTACGGAGTACGACGAGTGGCGATTCCGTTGCTAGCAATCAGTACCGAATGCGACGTGGTTGTATAACGACGTAAAAACTGTGTACGCGTGCGGAAGTAATAGTTTTTATTGTGTGTGCGAGTGTGTGTGCGCCGCGTGTGTGTGTTTTGTTGTTGTGTGTTCGAAACGGTGAACACAAAGGCTACCAACATACAAAAAAAAAACCCTACGAAAAGGGTTACAAAATTCATTTGATTTGAATTTTGTACATGTTTTTTTGAAGAATTATTTGCAAATTTTCGAATCGTGTAAGCAAGCTAGAAAAAGCAGAATACCCTATACTGAATATGATAGATCACGTCTAGGGCCGGCATATATTGTCGTATTGCTCATACGCCGTGTTGTCACCATTACAGTGAATAGAAAGTGCGATTGTATCTATGTGTGTTCTACTTGCATATATATATGTGTGTGTGTGTGTGTATGCCTTCAATTGAATACGAAATGAATTCGACTGTGGCCCGCTTTTATTTGTTTAATAGAAATTTAAATATTTTATGCACAATCCTACGAAGCCCACATGAAAACCAAACATGTACAAAAATGAAGTCACTCCCAGAGCCCAAAAAAAAATAATAATAATAAAAAACGAAAGAAAAAAAATAGAATAGAATAGGGTAACACATTGTATTTGCAAGTGTGAAAACGAAAATAAAAGCCGAAAGGCAAATAAAAAAAATATAACGCATGCAATATTCATTTAGCCTTGAACATGTCGCAAGAATCCATATGCTATTTCTTCATTTCATTTTCTATATATACTCGATATATTTATTTGAGTGCTAATGAAAGCAGACAAAACGAATACAAATTGAAATTGGGAAACAACTAAGTTTTGTGTTATTATTTTTGGAGTTTGCACAACTTGCGCATGACTCAAAAATGTTGTTGAAATTAAAAAAAAATTACCTAATACCATTTAAAAGACGGCAGTTAAAAACGCTACGGTTAACTGGGCCCATTAAGAGTAGACACAACTGACCTACACACGCACATACACAACACACACACACGCACAACACACACGAACTAAAAATCATCTACTGAAAGTGACATATGACAGCGACTATCACGAATGCGATCAGCTTCTGTCAGCAGCGTCCCAAGGTCCCAATCGCAAGGGAGGGTCAGGGAATAGGGGAGGGTGTGGCAGCCACTAATCTAATCTACACACCTTTTAAACAGTAATTTCTCTTATAAGGGGGCACTCTGGCAGTGTCGTCGCCCGTTGAGTAAACAATTGATTTTGATCATTTGCGTGTCTCTCACAGAATCCGGCTGAAGGTATATGATTTATATGGCACTAATGAACATCTCATTAATAAAGCCAAAAATAGGTTTGACTGGCCAAGCATAGCACATAAATCGAAAACTCCCACAGTTCTTCTTTGTTAAGACTTCACAGAACTTGTTTAATCTGAACAGAGTCCAGCAGTAAAAAATGTGAGAAATGCTTAAATGTCTTGGAGCATTAAAAAGTGAAAATAAAAATCAGTTTTTCGGCAACTTCATTTTTAGAGTATCACGCAGTCGGAAGACATTTACGACCGCACTATTTCACGGGTTTTTCATTAATGTTTAGGACGTACATTTTATCATTTTGTATGTGTGTGTGTGTGGTTGTGTGTGTGTATTTGTCTTTTACGTGCTTTTCTGTTTTGTTTTGTTTGCGTTTCTATTTGCTGTTAGTTATTCTGTTTTCTTTTTTTTTGGCTTTTATTCACATGTCATTGCGCTTTGACTTTTTTTTTTCTGCATTTCCCATACTTGCAACATGCTGCTTCTATTTTATCGATCTAACGGGGCAAACACAAATTTGGCCGCCGCCTTAAACAGACACTCGCACACAGACACAAAGTTACACTAGTATTTTTAGTTGTAATTTATGTGACTGTGTGTGTTCTATAAATTAGTAAAAGACACAAAAAATAAAAATAAAATAAAACCAAAAACCAAAAACAACGAAATGAAAGCGAATGCGGCGCCCGAGCATCGTTCAGTGTCGCCTATTTTTGTGAGACGTCTGATTATGTGCAGCATGCGGCAGGCTGCAGTTGCAGGGCCCCTCAAAAAAAAGCTCTGCCATTAGCCGGCCGAGAGCACAAAGCTTCTTAGGAGCCCCAAATACAAAGCGTGTCAAGCGCAATATAAAACACAGGAGCGGAGTATGAGGGTTACTTCAAGACTGCCATTTGGGCAGTGTATAAAAACCGATTAGCAGTTTCAATTTCATTTAATTGTTCTCGATATATTTTTATTTCTGTTGTATTTTTCTGTTGTGGGCGCTCGGCAAAAACTTGTTTTAGATTATATTGAAATTACTGATGACATCATTATTTGTGCCCGTTTCACTGTGTGTGTGTTTTGTTTGTGTTTCATTCTCGCTTTATATTTTTCGCATTTTTTGTATTTTTGTTTTTTTTTTTTTTTTGTTAATTATAATATTTTTTTTTTGCTTCCACTACTAACTTAACTCTAGGGCGACCTTCGGGCAGCTGCTTGTGAATAATAAAACAAAAGTGATTGCCTCAGCGTAAATTAAGAACTTATTGCCACAAACGAAGTTTTAAGTAAAACTAAAGCAACGACAGACTCCATTAACAATTTGGAGCGATAAAAATCAGAAATTGAATTTTCATGTGGTTGCGTGTGAACTCAGTTTTATGTCTATATGCCATATGTGTTCAGATATCAGATAAACAATGAGATATGCCACAAGAAGCACTCCATCATGAATCAATGCCGGCCTTGTTCAATTTGCTGCGCGTAAATAAAAAGATAAAACTTAATTATACGTTTGCCGTTTAATCACCCGTTTCGAAGTTGACTCTGCTGTGTATTCAAGCACTTTAAGAGTTGTATATTATAATCGTACAATGGTCTATACATATATATATATCTTTGATATGCCTTGCACTTTATTATTTTCCCGGTATTTTTGCAACGCATTTGGAGCACGTTCGCTCTTATACAATTTATAAGAATATGTCTTTGTGGCCCTCAAACAATAACGTCATTTCTATTTTCATAAAGGCTTGCTTGCTTTTTTGTGTATTGTGTGTGTTTATATATATGTGTGTGTGTGTGTGTGTGTGCGTGTGTGCTTATGGATGTTGGTTAGTTGATAAACACAATACTTAATGTTTAAAGAGAGCGCTGATAAGTCAAGTGCCGGCATTCTCAGTGTTTTTTTTTGGTTTTTGGTGAATGAAAACAAATCATACGCATTTGTTTGGCTATTTTTGATTTTTTTTATAGTTTTTGTTTTTGGGCAGACAGAAGGGCTTCGTTTTTGAGATTAAAATTGTCAAGCATATCTCATTTAATCACATTTAAAAAAAGATTAATTGGGTGTCACAGCGAAATCTTTTTTATTTTTTACCTTCTTATCAAAATACATTTATAGCACACAAATTGCGGCGAATTTCGTATACCAAATTCCACATTTAGCTTGCTCGACTCCATTCTTAAAAGTGTTTGCAAAATTATTCAAAGATTTAAATGATTAAAATCTTTTAAGATTGAGAAATATAACCTAATGTAGAGCAGTCAACAATTCTATTTGTGTAGAAAAAAAAGAATTCGCAACATGCCTTTCACTTATTTATATCAAACGAAACGGAAATCTCAAAGTTCGAAGACATCGACAAAATAATAAAGCAACTCATGCCAAAATCTTTAGGACAGGTTCTTTTTTTTCTTTCTTTTTTAGTGGTTGTTGTCTCTATTAGTTTTATTAGTCTACAAAAGGTGTAGCTCGTTAGCTCTCAGATTCTTATCGAAACCCATTAATACATGTCATAAAACATTGCAAGTCACACATAGATACAGTCGAATGGAAAACTATATAAAAAAATAGAGACAAATTTTGAAAGCGCGTAAATTCGTTATCTAATTTGTTGTAAATCTCGCAGTGCATTGAAGAAGCATCAAACTTAAATCAAGTGCCTAAACCGACAACTAACGAAACTGCTGACTATGACTATGTCGCATTGAAAGATACCCAAGATTTAGACATGCCTCAGCATAGATCGGGTCGCAAGGCGACCCAAACTAAACTGTCCAAAACCAATACCCAAACCACAACTGTCCAAGTGGCAGAGGAAAGTGACTATGACTTCGCGTTCGAGTTTCAGGTAATGCATTTTCCCCTCAACTCCCACTCTCTCTCTCTTTTCTCCCACACTCTTCTGCAAAATTCAAGTGCCTCAATTTATTTTCAACTATTTGTCTAATGTTATTTTGTTGTTATTTCACCACCATGTTTAGCAATATGCTGAGAGTCTACAGAAACCGCTCAAGACATTTAGAGTTGACTTCAGTGCGGGCAGCGTGCCACCTGGCGATGGTTACGCTGCGCGTCCGGATGATCTCTATACCACAACATACAGCACTACACAGTAAGTAAACGTATCTGAATACACTCAGAAAAAAGCTGATAATGATTGAGTATTGAAAATGATAAATAATAATGAGTAAGGAAAATGATGAATCATACCACTCACACATTTCTTGATAATGCGAAGAGCTCTTAAGTTCGATTCGATAAACCAATCAATAACAAAGAAAATATATTTCTTCCTCTGTGAAATGTTTTCCTCAACTTGTAAATATTTAACACACAACAATATACATCTTTAGTGAGTGTAAAGTTATCTTTGTTTCGACCTCAACAGATTTTGCTCTTATATGCAAAGTGTATTGTATTGTTGCCTTATTTTCCATGCTCGTTAAGCCCACTTTTTCCCTGAGTGTATATTAGTTAAATATCATAATATTTTAACATGCTCTTTTCCCACTTTAGATTCAGCTCAACGAAGACAACGAAAAGCTCCTCGAAGAGCATTTACAGCAGCGATGGCATCGATGCCACAATTAGTCAAGAGTCAAATGCCGCAACAACACCACAGTCGCAGATACAATTCAACGAGATACGCAGCCTGAAGCGTATGCAACAGCTGGGAGGATCAGCAGGAGGAGGAGGCGGAGGAAATGGTACCTCCGTGCTGGATATAGCCGGCATACGGGATCCGCGCACCGGTCGCGTTTTGACCATTGGTGAAGCAATACAATTGCGGATACTGGATGTGCGCACCGGCGAAATGTTGGTGGGCGATAAACGCATAACGCTGGAACAGGCTGCCCAACAGGGGCTGATTGATGCACAGCTGGCGCTACAGCTGCTGCAGCCGGGCGCTGGACGAGATGCCAGCGGACGGGAGCTATCACTGCTCGAGGTGATACAGCGCGAGATAACCGAAGCCGAGACCGGCTATGAGACGGCCGAGAAACGCATCAAGGTAAACAGCACAGTAGAGATGTCACAGTCACAGCCGAAATCGGATGTGGCCACATCTCCCGAGAAACCTAGAAATATTGTCGATGCCATTTGTGCGGGCAGTGTGGATGCCAAGACGGGACTATATCGCGTCAAATCGGGTCAGACGATCAGCCTGGCCGAGGCATATGAGCGTGGCTATCTGATACGCCACGAATCGGTGACAATCAAATCGAATGCGCTGTGTTTGAGTGATGCCATCGCTCATGGATTGGTGGATAGCTCTGGCTGGATAATTGATCGCAATTCGGGTGATAAGTTCCGCTTGGATTCGGCCATTGCCAATCAGCTGATCGATGCGAGCGTTCGCGAAGTTGTCGATGCGAAACGCGACGTGAAAATTACCCTGCAATCGGCATTGCAGTCGGGCGTATTAAATGCTAAAACCGGTCGCTATCTGAACGAGGTGACCAAAGAGAAGCTTAGCTTCTTGGAGGCACGTAATCGTCAATTGATCGTTAAACCGTATACGCTTAAGGATATATGTGACTTGAATCTGCTCGATAAGCAATCGTTAATCACATCGCCGATGCGTCGCGAAAAGCTGAGCATTATGCAAGCGATTGAGTCCGGTGTCTTGGATGGTAATCAATTGAAGTGCATTACGAAACGTAAGGGTGAGTTGATCACACTGCAGGAGGCCATTGCCGATGGCATTGTCCTGCCGGCTGAGTGTAAATATCGTGATTTTATGACCGGGGAATTGATTAGCATACCCGAGGCGGTTGAAAGGGGCTTGATTAGTTCGGTGGCGCAACGTTCCATATTCGATATTGATGGTTTCAAGGATTTGCGTAGCAATGATTATGTTAGCTTTAATGTGGCCCTCTCACGCGATCTTCTACGTCGCAAGAGCACGGGCTTTGCCTTAGAAACGGGTAGAGATAGTCTCGTACCGCTCGAGGTGGCCGTTGGCGAGGGTCTGGTACGCCAGGAGGTATACGAGATGTTCAGTCGCGGCATTGGTGTACACAATGCCAGCGGCAAGGAGTTGAGTGTCTTCGATTTGGTCTATCACAATCTGATTGATCCAAAGACGGGCTATTTGCTCGATCCGAAGACGGGTGAAACAGTGCCTTTAGACACCGCCATTGAGCGTAAATTTATAACTCCTGAGGGTGCATTGCTGCTGAGCAGCCTGCTTAACATTACACTGACTACGGAGACGGTGACAAGGACGATCAATCGTTATGTGACAATACGTGCCGGCTCCCAGGAGCCAGGCGATACAGTTCTATTGACTTTCACTGAGGCTGTGCGACAGGGTTTCATCGATGAGGACAGACAGCTCTTTAAGGATCCCAAAACGGACAATGTTTATTCCGTGCAGCAGGCCCTCAACTACGGCTTGCTTGTGCCGGACAGTAATCAAACAGTGCCGGAGCCCACAAATCGCAAAAAGACAAAGTCAACAATTACCATAGTGACGAAACAGATAATGCCCGAAGCGGAGCCCATTAAACTGAATACACAACACATGAAATATGTGGAAAAATCGGTGGAAATACCAATTTCCCAGGAGCTAATCAAACCGCAACGTGTCGTCTCGGAATTTATCAACCAGGAGAAGAGCAGTTACTTGGAGCAAAATGTGACGGAGCGTCAGATAATGGAACTGCCACCAGGTGGTTGGCGTCTTAAGGATGTCATTGAGCAGCGTCTGTTCAATCCGGACACGGGCGTCTTTCACGTCCAGGGCACCGATCGTCTGGTCAACTTTGAAGAGTGCATTGACAAGCAGATCATTAACAATTTATCGGTCGCTGTCATTGAGCCCAGCACGGGTGATAAAATATCGGTCAAGTCCGCCTTCGAGCGTGATATACTCGACGGCTATGGCAACTACACGAACAACAGGCAACAGGTTATCGGAATGCGCAACGCCATCTCGGAAGGTAAAATCCTATTGGAGTCGGTGCCAGCGACTCGTGGTGCCAATCAAAATACAATTTTGCGCATTACACGGGTGAACAATATGCCCGATGTGCTGGAGGTGTCGACACCACTTAAGGATGCACCACCACGCTTCTTGGAGGTCAACACCTGTCAACGTGAGCTGGCCTCACCGGAACCACTGCAAATAGCGCCAGGTGCCATTTACGATCCATCGACAGCTCTGGTCATATTCACACAGAGCGGCGAGACGGAGAACATCTTTGATGCAGCACGTCAGGGTCTCATCGATGAGCAGCTCATCAAGATTTTGGATCCCGCAACGAAGAAAACGATTTCGGTTACGGAGGCAATTGCACGATCTATCTACGATCCACGCACCGCAACAATATTGAATGCCGAGGGTCAACCTGTGGATTTGATAACAGCCACCAAGCTGGGACTGTTGACAGTAGTGGGTGCACCACTTGTCGCAGCTGAAGGTGCTCTGCGCACCGTTCGCTTTGTGGTTGATCCACGCACCGGTGAACAGATACCCGTTGAGGTTGCCTACGAGCGTGGTATTGTCTCACGCGATCAACTTCAGCGTGGACGCTCCTTTGAGAGTGATCACACCACCGAGGAAAAGGTTGTGGTGCTGCAAAAGATGCGCAAGATCATACTGAAGCCACGTGATGCTCTGCGCAAGGGCATAATCGATGAGGAGACTTGTGCAATTCTCGAGGATACACGAAACTTTACCAACCCCCAGGGCGAGGTGGTTAACATTTCCGAGGCTCTTAACTTGGGTCTAATTGATGGTCGTCGTGGCCAGGTGACGGATCCGCAACGCAATCGTGTCCTTAATCTGCGACAAGCTGTCGAACAGAAGATCATCGATCCAGAACAAACGAATCATATACTCATGCCTCTGGCGAAGAGTCTATCCATACCGAAGCTGGAATCACAGGGTCTGATTGATACGAAAACCCAAACGATTGTGCATCCAGAGAGTGGATATCCGTTGAGCATACACGAGGCCATCGTTTGTGAGGTGCTGGATCCACATTCCAAGCTGCAGAAGCCCACCAAGTGCACCCTCGAGGAAGCCATCGAAAAGGGCATCATTAATCCAGATGAGTCCACGTTTAGCTACAAAAATAAAACGCTAAATATCTCACAAGCCATCGATGCGAATCTTTTCGATGCAAGCTATGACAAGCAAAAGTTGAGAGTGGAAATTCCGCCCGTGGGCATGATATTCCCCGTTGCCGTCGAAAAGAGTCTCGTGGAGCCCACAAAGCGCGTCGTGCTGCATCCGAGCACAAAGAAACCACTGCCCATTAAGCAGGCAATCGAGGATAACTTCATCATGTCCATACCCTATGCACCCAAACCGGATGCCATTGAGCTTGTTGCGGCGCTGGAGCGCAATCTCATCGATGTCGCTGCTCAAACCTTCACCCACCCAACAAGTGGCGAGCGATTCTCGCTGCGCCAGGCACTGGAGAATGGAGAGTTGGTTGTGAAACAACTGTCCGATTTTGTTGTAACCCAGAAACCCATTGCCAAGACAGAGGTAATGGAGACGGTGCGAGCTGTGCACACAGTGACAACGAAAACAATTGAACTAATGCAGGGTTACGTACTAATCTCCAACAATGAGGTGCAGAACGTCAACACGGGTGAGGTGGTCAGCCTGGAACAGGCCAAGGAATTGGGCATCTTACGTGAAGAGGAGGTAACACGTGAAACTAAAGCTACCGCAGGCGACAATGTTGAACAGTTGACACCACAAACTGTACCCAGTTCCAGTGATCAGACAGTGGTCGTAGAGGAGCGCACACAAACCGTTGTGGTTAGCTCCGATACCAGGAAGCAGGAGATGCAAGTGGTGAGCACCACACAATCTACAAAGGAATCACCGGAGAAGGAAACAAAATCGCCCAGCAAGGAACCGAATAAAACCTTGCAAAATGTCAAGGATGTGGCCAAAATGGGTGCCTTGGGAGTTATAGCAGCGCCTGTGCTTGCGGGTGGTGCTATTGTTAGCGGTGTCAAGAGTTTACTCAAATCTAAAAAATCACCCACTGAAACCACAGCAACAACGACCACAACAACGAACATAAGCAGCACATTAATCAGCGGCAAGGAACCGGAAAAGCCACAGAAACCGGAGGTGAGCTTCATTGATGAGGAGCGCAAGGTAGCTCAACCACAATAACAACGGTAACAAAAGAGCAACCACAACAACAGCAGACAACAGTTGTTGGTGCATTGGAACAGATAACTCAACCCGAATACAAAACAGACAAACATCAAACTGTTGTCGATTTCATACAACACGAGAAAACACCAGAAACCTCAACGGGCAGTAACATAATGCAGAATGTCAAGGATGCAGCTAAATTGGGCGCCATGGCTATTGTCGGAGCACCTGTGCTAGCTGGAAAAGCGCTGGTGGATGCCCTAAGCACAGATAAAACCCCCAAATCAACAGAGAAGGTTACCGAAATTGTCACACAAACAGCACAGGAGCCAACAATTGTGGAACCCGTTAGCAGCTCAAGTAGCACCACAATTCAAACTAAAATCACAACAACCACCACAACGACAACAAGCAGCACAGAATATGCGCCCGATGATGAGGCTCGCGATACAGTGGAAACTCAAGTCACTACGAGTACAGTGGAGCAGACAACGGGTAAGCGTGATGTGCCCCTTACACTGGCCATTGGCGATGCCATCTCCCAGAACCTCATTAGCCCCGAGGAGTGTCAAGTTATTGTGGATGGTGAACCACAGTCGCAAAGTGTGGCCACTCTCCTCAAAGAGGAACAACTCAGTCCGTTGGATGAGGTGCAGATCATAGATGACAAGTTGATTGTACTTCAGCAGATTACCTACGTGGTGGACATTAACACCGAATTGACGCCCGACAAGTTGAGTGAACTTAACTTGTACGATGAGAAACATCAGTACTTTATCGATCCCTCGACTGGACAGAAAATATCCTTCCAAACGCTCGTCTTTGACATGAACATCTTCGATCCCGAAACGATTTTGGTCAAGAACTTTAGTACAGGCAAA